CAGAGCCAGGAGAGTGCTACTATTTCCAGGGAAGGAGACGGCTGTGGGGCCCCGAGCATGCGGAATGCCTGTGTTGGCTGGCACAGACTGGTCCTGGTCCATACGTAGGACAGGCGTTGGGGTCGGACCTGCAGCTGGCTCAGGGTCTGGGCTCTGCCGCACCTCCTGCCTCGACCCACCTCCTGCCCTTACAGAGCCCTCCTACTGCCTCCAGGGCCTGCCTATGAAGCCTCTGCTGACCCCACCTCACCAGGAGGGCTTTCTGGTCCCCTAGCCCCTGAACTCTGGCCTGCCAGTGGCGGCAGCCCAGAGCGTGGTGGCCATGTGAGGGCTAGTGTCCATGCGGACCCCTTTGAGCGTGTTCCCCACCAACTCATCACGACAGCTTGCAACCCCGCGTGCTGAAACAGCGCCACCAGAGGCCGTCTGCGCTGGTCTCCCTGGTCAGGGAGCCTTGGTGACATCGTGGGTTACGCGTTGAGCTGCTAACCCCCAAGGTCCGCAGTACGAATCAGCCAGCAGCTAGCTCCTTGGGAGGAGGATGAGGTTGCCGACTCCCGTTAGGGCTGTTCTACCCTGTCCTGTGGGGTCGCTGTGAGTCAGAGTCCACTCGATGGCAGGAGTGTTGGAGGAGAAGGGTCCGAGCTTATATTCAACTCACAGTCACTGGGACTCAGCCCTTCAACAGTGAGCACCCCCGTGCTTCGGGGGGATAGACCAACCAGTGGGTACAGGAGCCCTGTGCTGTGGGTGCACCAGAGTGAACTACCGTTCTCCACAGTGGTAATATTTGCAGCGGGTTTTGAAGGTAACTTAGGAGTTTGCCAAGGGTAGAGGGGATTGTCCAGTGGGTGCCAAGCTTGTTGTTGTGCCTGGTCCAATAGCACACATAGTGGGTGCAGCGTTATCACCAGTCTAGGTCTTTGACAGGCCAAGGGGGCAGATGTGTGTGTGTGTGTGTGCGAGTGCAGCAGGCTGGCTTTGGGGAGCTCCCCCTGGGCAATGTGGGGGATGGGCGGAAGGGGAGGAGGGTGCTGGCCAGCCAGGAGGCTCCAGCGGGTGGAGGAGCATGGTTCCAGGCTGCTCTAAGACAGGGAGGGCCGAGGAAGGGCACCTGGGGCGGGACTGGCTTCCTGCCTTCAGACCTGAGCAGCGAATGCTCCAGCCCACTGTAAGTGAGGCACCTGACAGCCAGGGCCCTGCGTCCCCACCCCCAACTGTCTGTCACCTCGCCCTCCAGTTCTGCTGCTTTGCTCCCCTCCTCTCCGCCCCAACCCCCACCCCCACCCCCCCCCCCACGGCTTGTCGCCCTTCCTTTTGCAGTACTAGAGTCACAGGTAAGTGTGGCCAGAAGTCTCTGCACAGAGCCTCCCCCTCCCCCGGCCTCATCTTTCTTGCTCTGAACAGCTGGTTTCAGCTACTCACCTGCCACCACCAGGGCTCCTCACCACAAGGCAGGATCTACGCGGTGGCCGCTGGTTTGGATTTGGTGGTCTGCTGGTAGGCTGTGGAGGCTCAGCAGAGGGGCTTCCCACCCCCGGACAGAGTCACAGTCTCAGGCCCCACAGGGCAGTCCCACGGGTCTTGTAGGGTCCCTGCGTCAGCATCGACTCAGGGCCGGAGTGTGGTTTGGGGTTTGTGCGTGATTACGAGAGCGGCTGAGCATCCTTGGTGTCTCCAGGGCCGCGTGTTTGGTTTCTGGAGTCCCGGGGAGCTGACACCGTCACCCCCTTTCCTGATGGGGAAGCAGAGGCCCGTGGGCCCTGCCGTGGGTGGCCTCATCAGCCTGCCCCTCTTCCTTGGCAGACAAGCACGAGACGAAGCTGAAGGGTGTCATCTACTTCCAGGCCATCGAGGAGGTCTACTACGACCACCTGCGCAGTGCAGCCAAGGTCAGGGCCGCCTCAGGGTGGGGCAGGGACATCTGGGGGTGGGGGGGACGTGGCCCCCGAGCAAAGCCCTGCAGCACTCATTTCTGCTTTAAAGCTCGTTCCTTGTCCTCTTTAAAATGGTCTCTCCATCTCTCCCTGTGCCCTCCCCCAGAAAAGGCTTTTCAGCTTCACTGTGGTGACTGAGGTACCCCCCCCATAACCAGAACTACCTCACATTAATGCCTCCAGTGCTCTACCAGCCCCTGACCCTTGACTCTCCCCTCAAACCACCCTCCTCCCTCAACCCAGGCCTGAAGGAAGTGGGAGATGTGGGCAGGGCGGGGGCAGGAAGCCCCCAAGCCCAGCCTGGTTCATGCCCCGTGGGGACCGGCAGCAGGTGGGTCTGGGGTGTATGGTCCTCAGAGATTAGATCTGTGGAGTGGACTGGGTAGTGGGACTGAGAAGGCACCCTCCAGCCCACCCACCTGATGCCCCCCATCCCTGGTCACCATTCCTCTGGGCGTAGCACCCTCTGTGGCTCAGCACTTGGGGTCTGGTTCTCTTAGGGTACACTCAACCTGGGCCGATGTGGGCTGCTGGGGTCTTGGCCTGAGCTCCAGGCTTCCTGGGAGTGAGGTGCGGTGGGGTGGAAGATGGCAGGTATCTGCCCTCTCAGACCCTGTCCTTCCCCCACCCTCGGCAGAGCCCAAACCCAGCCCTCACTTTCTGCGTGAAGACCCATGACCGGCTGTACTACATGGTGGCCCCCTCTGCAGAGGCCATGCGCATCTGGATGGATGTCATTGTCACCGGGGCTGAAGGCTACACCCAGTTTATGAACTGACACCACAGGCCTCCCTGGACCCTTGGGCTGGTCCTGCCACCCATGCCCAGCCACCTGCTGCTCTGCCAACTCTTAAGATGGTCACACAGTGGACCCTGGCCTGAAAGGGGGAGTGGAGCCAGGCCTCCGAGACCTGTGCTGTAGGGTGGGAGGCTCCGTTCAGGGGTCCCGGACTTCAGCCCCATGAGAACCAGCCCAGAGATGATAGGTGGGGAGGGGCCTCTCCTGCCTCCTGGACCCTGCGGTAACCAGAGTGAGGCCAGGCACCCCAGAGAGGGTCTCCCGCTCAGAGCTGGCCCTGCCTCTGTAAGGGACACACTGGTCTGATTCCGCCAAAGATCCCTGCCTGCTTCAGCTCCCTGCTGTGCAGTCCCTCAGGAGCTGACAGCACATCCAGAGTGGGGGCAGCTCAGGCCGCAGTGTTCCCAGCCCCACCCCACCCCATCCTCCGCCCACCTTTTTTTAACTCAAGGGCCAGAGACAGCAGCGTGTCAGCCTGGAGCTCCCAGCCCCATCCCTAGTTGTGGACCCAGCCCCGTGGTCCCCATAGCGATGGCTCCATCACCATGGTTACATGTTGCCGTGGCGTTGGGGCTTGGCATCCACTTCAGCCTGACGGTCTGTGCCACCATCTCTCCAGCCATTCCCCTGGGCCCCTTCCCCGGGCTCTTGCCTGTCTCAGGGCCCCTCCCCGCCCACTCCCACTCGTGCCTTGCTCAGGGCCAGAAGGGAGAGCGAGCGAGCGAGTGAGCGAGGGAAGGAGCGAGGGAACTCGGGAAGGCCTTCCTTGCTCCTGCACAGGGCTGAGCTTCTGCCCAGTGGCTCCCCACGGGGAAGCCTGCTCCAGAGAGGAGTGAAGACAGGAGCTGGCGCTCTGGCCCACTCTCCCCTCCTCCCAGGAAGGTGATGGGAAGGGACAGCCGGCCAGCGAGCTGCCCCGCACGCCTTAACACTAACCCTCTTCCCTTGCCCTTCCCCAGCACCAAGGCCCGTGGCTGTCTAGGCCTGGGCTGGGGGGTTTCAGTATTTGTAAGCATTTCAGCAGAACAATAAAGCATTTGGAGTACATGAGTGACTGGAGCCACGGTTGGGTAGGGTGTGAGGCAGTGTGTGTGTGTGTGTGTGGGGGGGGTACTTGCTGTGTTTCTACCCTAGTGACCTGTGACCTCAGGTGCATGGGCGTGCAGGATTTAAAGGGGCAAGAGAAGAGGCAGGAGCCGGTAGAGGCTCAGGCAGAGGTTTAATGGGTTTGAGTGCTGGTGCCAGATGAGAAGTGAGCACGGACAGGGTGCTGTGGTCACCACCACCATAGCAGGAGGTGGGGCAGGAGGGCAACCGCCAGGCAGTGGGGTTCCCAGAGCGCTGGCCAGGCCCCCGAGGTCAGCCGGTCGCCATAGCGGTCCAGGAGCATCAGAACCACTCCGTTTGTCCAGCCAAACCCCTCCTGTAGAAGAGGGGTTTGGCTGGCAGCCTTGGCCTCCTGGGGGTGGGATTTACCCAGGGCCTGACCCGCCCAGCCCAGCCCAGGGACCTGCCTGCAGGGGAGGGGGTGGGAAATGGACCCAGAGATCCCTGGGAGAGTTCACCACCTGCCCCTCACCTGGACTTCATACTCGCCCCCGCCTCCTGGTTGTCCACCACTGCTGACGTCGTACTGGGGAGCAAGGGGAAGGGCTACAGGTCAGGCAGACGCCCTGCCCCAGTCTGATGGAAAGCAAGGGTGGCAAGGAATGGGGGGACATCCCATCTAAAGAAGCCGGCTGGGCTCCTGCAGTGCCCCAGAGTGACCACTGGGGGCCGTCACCATCCTTGGCTTGCTGGCGTGGGCTCTGCGTGTGTTGCCGGTCCCGGGTCAAGCACTCACCTTCTCGTACATGGCCGACGTTTTGGAGTAGACGTCGAAGTTGGTGCGAATCCAGTTCTGGGCCAGTTGGAAAGCCACTTCCTGGGCCCGGGGTGAGGATGACTTGGCCAGACCTAGATCCCCAGCCGAGGCAAACCCTGAATCTCCAGGACCTGCCCACCCCCACCGCTCCCCGGGGGAGCAGGGGAGGGAAAGAAGTCCCTACAGTCAGGCAAACAGGAGAGGACCTTGGTGCTGGCCCCGTGGGAGGCTGTGAGCTCCAAGGATCGGATCGAGAGAGGCGTATGTGGACCCCAAGTGCTCTGGGCACGCCTCCCCGGCCCCGGGGAGGAGACCCGCTCACTCTACAGCCAGGGGTCAAGGCCCGGCATGCAGCCTCCACCCCTGCCCTGCTGCCTCCCTACCTCGGATGACCAGGTCCTGCAGTGGGGCCCAGGCATTGGGAAAGTCCCACTGCTGGCCTGAGTTGTTCAGAGAGGTCGGGATCCCGTGCTTGAAGGTCAGGATCTGGGTGTCCTAGAAGGTTCCAGACAATGCCATGTCTGGTTGGGCTGGATGAGGAGCCAGGTGTCCCCTCCCAGGCCTTCCTCGCCTGGGCTCACAGCTGCCCCCTGATGGCTGCAGTGGGACCCACACCAACGCAGGAGGGGTGGCTGGCTGTGATTCGTGGAGGTCCCGCTGCCCAGGGTCAGAGGGCACAGGCCATTCCACCTCTGCGTCCAGTCCCCACCCTTGGTGGCCCCTTCACCTCCAGGTATTTCAGAGCCTTGTCCACCACAGCCGGGTCAGAGAAGCAGCCGGCCCAGAGGGGCGTGAGGTTGGAGGGGTAAAACTCCCTGTTCTTCTTTCCACTCTCCAGGTCGTGGTCAAACCAGGCGCCCCTCTCCGAGTCCCACAGCACGGCCTCCAGGGCGGCCAGGCGCTGGGCTCGCTGGCTTCTGTACTTGGCGGCTTGGGCCTCATTGCCTGGGGGGGTCGGGCCGTCAGACCCCAGCAACCAGGGTCCTGGCCATTGGCCGGTCCCTGGGAGGGGTCTACTCTGGCCTCCTGCCCTGGACTCCTTCCCAGGGCTGAGCAGTCCTCCCCGGGACCCGCAGCATGCCTCTCTGGGGCTGCTACCTTCCAGCCACTGCCATCCCAAGGCACTGCGGCACAGAGTGGGGCTGCCCCAGATTTCCCGGCTGCCGTTCTGCGTGAGCTGACTGCCTGCACCGTCCATCTCCCCCTCCCACCCCCAGGCGAGGAGCGCTTCGCCGCTGTGCCACCGGGGATTTTAAAAAAGAGAACTCCCTGCCATCAAGTCATGCCGACTCACAGCGAGCGGATTGGACAGGGTCGAAGAACCGCCCCTGTGGGTTTCTGAGGCTGTAACTCTTGATGGGCTAGAAAGAAAGGCCTGTCTGTTTCCCTAGGAGCGGCTGGTGGTTTCAAACGGTGGACCTGGCAGAGTCCAGTCCAATGCGTCACCACTACGCCACCAGGGATCACAGCCCCTGGGATCTCCTGAGCACATGGCTGCCACACTCCCAGCGTCTCCACTGGTCTCTTCCTGGGTGGGGCCTCTGGGCCGTATGGTCTCCAGACACCCGAGGGGCAAGGGGGTGCCTGGAGCCCGGATGTGTGTGGAGGACGTCTGGCAGGTGCCCGAGAAGCTCGAGAGGCCCCATGGGAAGGGAGAGGGAAGGGAAAGGGGGGCCCCACCAGCACCCTTGCCGGGAGCACAAATGCTAGGTTTGAGCACGCTGAGAAGCTGGTCACCCCAGGGTTCCACCTCTGGTTCAGCATCCAGGCTGAGGCGCTCACCCAGCCTGGAGTAGAAGTTGCCCAGCAGCCCCTCTGCCTGGCACAGGAAGCTGTTGAGGTCCACAGGAACCAGCTTGCTGGTCCGGATGCTGCTGAGCCGGCTGCTGGAGAACCAGCGGGACGAGAAATCCCAGCCCGACTCAGCCCCTGCCTTCAGTTCGGCCCACAGAGCCTCCCGGGCACCTGTGGACACAGAGCAGGCGCCCACCAGTGCTGGCAGCTGGGCCTGGCCTCCGCCGTTAGGGGATGCCGCGCCCATGACCGCTCACCTTCCGGCACGGTGTCCGCTAGCTCAGCATCTTTGCTGTAGGACTCGGGCCTGGCGAGGAGGGGTGAGCACTGGAGTCTGGAATGTCCTGACCCCTGTCTCCTGGCCTCGCAGCCTCTGAGTGGCCAGCCTCTCCTCTCACTCCAGCTCGGACTAAACCACCTGCCCTCCCTCCCAGGGGGGTCAGACACGGTATTTAGGGGCCGGCGCCTTCTCACCTGGGACCCCCATAAGGAACGTAGTAGCGATTCAGGGTGTGGCTCTTCCCCCCGACACTCACGTTGATGCTCCTCTTCTCCGCCCAGAAGTTCAACTCCAAGGCCAGGGTTTCAATGTTCTCCCTGGAGAGCAGACACCTCCTCAGCCCCGGCCCCTCAGTCCTGGGAGAGCCCACGAAGCCCTGCCCCTGGGCTGGTGGGACTGGGGGGCAGGGTGGCAGGACGCACTGCAGGAAGGCGATGTCGTTGGTGTGGGTCAGGTAGCGGTCCATCATGAGGGTCAGGAGCGGGGGCTGGCTCCGCTGCAGGTAGTACACTCGCCCGCCATTGGGGATGTGGCCGTAGCTGCCAAGAGGGAGGCTTGCTGAGATGCCGTTGGCCGTGGCCAGAGCCGAGGCCAGCCCCCAGCCTGACACCTGCTTCTCTCCTGCTCACGTGTTCACCAGGTCCAGGAAGTTCCGCAGCATGCCCTTCACCGTCTCCGGCATCTCGGAGAGGAGCAGGCCCTCCATCACCCAGTAGGAGTCCCTGAGGGAAGGGACAGCTCAGACCTCCTGAGCTACCTTGCTCAGGACACCCTGGGTCCTTGGTTCCCTGTCCCGCTGGCCCTGTAGCCCCTGCCCTCCCCCAGGCCCCTGCCGCACCCACCAGTAGTAGAACTCCACGAATCGGCCGCCGGGCACCACAAAGGGGTGTTTGGAGTAGATCAGAGAGAACCAGTCCGGGTGACTGGAGACCTCCGGCTTCATCTGCGAGCCAGTGAGGCAGACTTATCTGTCTGGTCAGCACTGTCCGCCCCACCTCCCACCTGCCGGCTTCCAGAGTCTAAAGGGGAATTGTTGATCGCTACAGGAAGGGGTATCGCGCTCCACTGCTCAGTTGGACTGGCACTTGGCACACAGCAGCTGTCTGGATCCAGGGGAGGGGAGGGCGTTTTCTCCTGGCTCCTGCAGCTCCCCACTTCTCTGCTGTCACCATCAGCCAAGCCCAGGGCACCCCCTCCCAACCCTCCGCCTTAGCTGTGAAGGGCAGCAGAGGTGGGAGCCGAGCCTCAATTGGGGGGGATTCTGTGCATCCCCACCAGGGAGGTTCCCGTGTGTTTGTGTGGAGCAGGGGCTACTAGTGTATATGTGTGTGTGGGGTGTCATCTGATTTGTTATTTCAAGGAAGCCAGGAGCCCTAGGCTGTCCCTCAGGACTGCCGAGACAAGTACCCTCAGTGAAGGAAGGGGCACCGAGTGCCACCCTGCCAGCCTGCACCAGGGCATCAGGGTTAAGGAGGGAGGCCCCAGGACCCACTCGCTGTGCAGCCTTGGGCAAACCCTGCCCTCGCTGAGCGTAGCAACTGTGCCAAGCGCAGCGGTCAGTGCTGTTGTAGCACGGGACAAAGTCCTCCCCTAGGAGCTCAGGGCAGCGGGAGCGAGGGACAGGGGCGGTCTGCCCCGGCAGCCTGGGGAAGGAGGGCTTCCAGGCGGAGTGGGCAGGTGGCAGCACTCCTCAGAAATCTTTCTAGAGAGATTCTGGGCAGCAGTCTGGGCGCCGGTGGAGGTTCTTTACTTATGAAAGGAGGCCCATCTGCACTCCAGGGTCCGCTGGGGGGACCCGCTGAGCACGCCCCCTCCGCCCAGGTGTGGGGCAGCCCTGACTCCAGTACCTTCTTTCCCAGCTTCTTCCAGAGCTGGTGCAGCTCCCCGGCCCAGGCCCGCAGCTTGGTGTCAGAGATATTCTTTAAGAACTGAGGGCTACAAAAGGATGGGTCCCACAGGATTCAGGAGGCAGACCTGCCCCCCTCCACCATCCCTTCCCCCTCTCCTGCTCCATGCCAGGCCTTACCTGTCTTTCCAGTCCCCAGGGGTCCAGGGGTCCAGCTCCTGAGACTTGTCCCGGAAGTGATTGTTGACAAACTCCTGCAGCAGCTGCCGGGGGATGCTGCTGTTGTGTGCCCTGTTCAGGTCCTGGAAGTTGCTCAGCACTTGTTCTGTAAGGCGGTGGCGAGGTGGGGGTGGGGGGTGTCAGCCCCACAACCCGCTCGCTGAGCCAGAGGTGTCTCTGCTTGGCGTTGCCCCCTGACACCTTTGGGTGGAAGTTGCAGGAGCAGGTGGCCCCACTCCTTACCTGGAGCCACGGACAGTGGCATGTCCACAAACTGCTTATCGTCCTGGAAGAGTTTGGCCATCTGAACTTGGTGCAAGAGCTGCCCGTGGCAGTAAATCTGGCTGCGGGGACCATTGGGGACGGGGTTATGGGGGGCATAGGGAAAGAGAGGGCTGGGGTCTGGGCAGACTGGTCAGGGTGCGTCTCCTGGGCACTGGGCAAGGGAGTGAGTCCAGTGTGTGGCTGGCAATGGGGGTAGAGATCCCAGGGCTTGGAGACTGAAGGATCTTCTCATATGCTCAGCAATCCATAGAAGGTCAGGCAAGACTGATCACACAGCTCTCTTGACAAGGGCACCCAGGCAATTGCTCAGGAGGAAACCTCTCCATCATTCCAGACGCAGCCCTCCCCTCATCCACCACAGTCCAGCAGCACCAGCCTTTAACATTCTACCCTCCACCCCCTCCTTCTCCACCACCAGGCTCCACTTCCCAGGCTCCACGGCCCCACCTCACTCTGGTCCCAGCCACACTGCCTGCCTTCCTGGCCCCTGCATGGTGGCCCCTCGGTCCTCACGCTGCTGTTTCCGTGGGCTGCACACCACAAGGGCAGTGATGGAAACCCACCAGCCATTCCGCAGGAGCACGGTGAAGCTGTCTGCTCCTGCGCAGACTTGTAGCCCGGGAAACCCCATGGGACCACTCTAGTTGGAATCAATTGGGCAGTATTGGGTTTGAATTTTGTGGATTTTTTTTCCCTTCCTCTTCTTTTTTAAATATCACTATTTCTCTTGTACTATTTTCTTGTCTATAATGGAGGGTTCGTGAAGGCTCAGGACTGTGGTCAGGACGGCCTCCCAGGAAGCTGGTGGAGTACATTGTGCCTGCTGTCCCGGGAGTGCCCCAGCCACCACAGGTGCGGAGTATCAGGGTTAGGGTTCAGCCTGAGGAATCCTTGTCAGGTGGCCCTTAGCCCTTTCTTGCACCCAGACTAGGGAATCAGACAGAAAGTCTTCTAGAATGATCCTGAGGATAGTCCTGCTCTGTCCAGAGAGCAGCTGGCAGGGCGGGGCGGGCCGGCTCTGCCCAGCATCTTTTCCCAGCCCTGGGCTCCATACAAACCCCGAATCTCTTCCCATTTCACCGAAGGGCTGACTCCCAGCCTTCTGGACCCAGACCTTCCCCCGCTACCTCACCTCCTACCTCTCACAGGGTGGGGGCAGGGCCGCCTGCGATCCGAGCCGCAGGCCCCGCAGTAGCAGCAGCAGCAGGCACAGCACCCAAGTCTTCCCGTGCATGGTGGCCATGGCCGTGGCTGGGAGCGGACAAGCCGGCGCAGGTCCTCAGGCAGCTGAGCCCAGGCCGCCCTGCCTGCCAGCGCAAGCAGCCAAAGTCCGGGCTTTGAGGCGTGGCCACCTGAGGGATCAGCACCTGGTCTCGACATGGCCTGCTGACCCTGCTGCTCTCTTGGAGACCTCTCAGGGCCCCTGTCCAAGCAGAAGCACCAGTCGGCCCGGCCTCTATGGGCACCATCTGCTTAGACCAGTGGTTCTCCACCTCCCTCATGCCGACCCTTTCAGACAGTTCCCAACCATAACATTATTTTCATTACTACTTCATCATTGTCATTTTGCTACTGTTATGAATTAGGTGATCCCTGTGAAAGGGTCGTTCGACCCCCAAAGGGGTCGGGACCCACAGGTTGAGAACTGCTGGCTTAGACCCTGGCCTGTGAGGGGGGGCTGGGAAGGGCACCTGAGGACCAGTGAGACAAGACCACACATCCACAAGCCAAATGCCAGTTACTTGTGTGACCCCATGCCCACCAGCTTAGGTGGCTACCCATTCTCCTGAATTTCAAACAGAAAGCTTGAGTTTCTGTCTTGGGTGTGGTGTGGGCCCCGGAGGCCTGATCAACAAGGAAGTGGAGGGAGGGCTTAGCTGTCTTTTCACCAATACTTGTCTTCATGCCCTGAGTCAACGAGTTCACAGTGACCTTCCTATCTGGCTTCCAGGGACTCTGGCCACTTGCCCTGCCCCACCCAGCCTATGCTGGCCAGGGCCAGGATCCAGTCACATCCAAACGGAGTCTGCTGTGCACCCCTCACTTTTACAGAAGGGAGTTACCCCCCAGAACAGAGCAGCGAAGAGACTAAAAGGAGCCTGGTCTTTACTTCCCCGAAGCCCCCACTTTGTGTGTGTGCGCGCGCACGCGCGCGCACACACACACACCTCTCCTATTCTCCAGCAAGAGGAATTTCTTACTGACCTGTTACCATGAAGTCCAGTGTTTTCTGACCCCAATTCTAGCTCCCAGCCAGCAACCCTTAAATTGCTATCAAATACTCCCAGAAGAGCTTCCCTTAGAGGCGGTTTGTCAGAGAAAGGCTGCTGGCAGAAGGTGAATGAAGACCAGAGTTCTTAGGGCCATGCCACACATCCGGACAAGTATCTCTCCGTTCTGTCTCCTAGTCACCATGGGCTGGAAAGCAACAAACACAACGCACTCCCATGGAGTCGGTGCCGACTCAGCGCGACCTCTAGGACATGGTAGACCTGCCCCTGTGGGTGTTCGAGACAGTAACTCGATGCGAGTGGAAGGCTCATCTTTTTCCTATGGCTGGTGGTTTTGAACTGCTGGCCTATGGGTAGCAGCTCGACTAGTAACCCTTACGCCAGCAGGACCCACCGGGGGTTCGCTGTCCATTGTGGCCGGGGCCCTTTCTGTGCGCACCTGGGATGCTCTCAGCCACACGAATGACACGCCTTTGGCAGATAAGGAAGCTGCTACCCATTGTGAGATGCCATGGTTTTGGTTCCAACTTAGAGTGACCTTATGGGTGACAGAAGGACACACGGCCTGAGCCTGCATCATCTTAACAGTCATTGCTGCGTTTGGGTCAGTGCTCCAGCTAGTGTGTCACACTGTCTCATGGACGGGCTTCTTGTTTGCTGACCCTCCACTTTGCAAGCATAATGTTCTTCTCCAGGGACTGGGCTCTCCTGATAACGTGCCCAAGGTACGCAAGACACAGTCTTGCCATCTTTGCCTCTAAGGAGAACTCTGGCTGTATTTCTCCCAATTGTGCTCCCGCCCAAATATGTGTCAACCTGGCTGGGCCCTGATCTCAGTGATTTGGCAGTTATGTAACCATCCCCCAGAAGGCACAGGGATCTGATCTGATGTAATAAGGGGTTAAAGGGAAGCAGCACCTTCCCCCATCACATCCCTGACCCAGTGTCAAAGAGTTTCTCCGGGGCGTGGCCCCTGTCACTTTTATCTATCAAGAGAGAAGAGGCAGAGAAATAAGGAGCGTGAGAGGGACCTATCATGACCAACAATGAAGAAAGGGAGCAGAGCTTGTCCTTTGGACCCAGAGTCTCTGCTCTGGGAAACTCCTGGACCCCTGGGATGATTGGTGACAAGGACCTTACTCAGAACTAGCTGACAGAGAGAGCCTTCCCCTGGAGCCAGCACCCTAAATTTAGACTTCTCACCACCTACACTGTGAGAGACTACATTTCTGTTTGCTAAAGCCACCTGCCTGCGGTGTTTCCATTGCGGCAGCCCTGCTAACGAAGACACCTTCACGGGCAGGTTTGTTTGTCCGTTTGCCAGTCTATGCTACGGTCAGTATTCCTTGCCAACCCTCGTAATCCAAATGCATCAACCCCCTCTAACTCATTGCCCAGCTCTCACGTGTGCGTGAGGGGATGGCACGTATGTGCCGTCGCTTGGGTCAGGCCCGCTTTTGTCCGCATGACATGCTTGCTTTTTACCACGTCAGAGAGAACTGCTGTAAGCTGACTGGCCCCGCGCAGTGCATTGATATCTTGGCTGTGTTTCCATGGGCATTGATGGCGAATCCAAGTAAAATGAAATCCAGGACAACTTCAGTATCCACTGATGGCAATGTTGCTTCATTGGTCCAGTCATGAATGTTTTGCTTTGTTACGCCGAGGCATACAAAGTCTCCGCTGTTCATCAGCAAGTGCTTCGCGGCCTCTTCGATTTCAGCAAGGTCACCTGCATGTCCCGGCTTGTTACTAAAGCCTCCTACGACCCTGAGGAGGCCTTCGTCCCCATCTAGTCCAGGGTCTTGGACTGTCTGCTCAGCGTGCACGTTGACTACGTGTAGCGAGAGGATACAATCCTGAGTTTAACCTGTGCAGTCTCACCTTCTGTTCAAACACCCGTCTCTTAGTCTGTGTGCAAGTTAGCACATTTTTCGCAGCGCTATCTGTAATTTGCTATGACCCACATGGCGGAATGTCTTTTGTAGTCAAACACAGGGGAACATCTTCCCAGTAGTCTCTCTGCTTTCAGCCAGCAGCGATTTGACAATGGAAGCACAGCTCTACACTCTCTGCTGAGTTTGGCATGAACTTCTGACAGGTATTGTTGTAGGCATCTTAAAAATCTGTCCTCAGCATCTTTTTACTCCCATGCGACACGGGGGTGCCGTCTCCGACTTCCCGCCTTCTCCAGAGCCCCTTTCTTTGGACTGGGCATGGATGTGGACCTCTTCCAGCCGGTTGACCGGGTAGTCGCTGTCCAAAGTTCTTGGCGTGAGTGAGTGAATGCATGTGTTCAGTATCGCATCCCTTTGATGCAACATCTCGGTTTTGCTCCAGTCTCATCAGGGTAGCTTGGACCTTGCTCAGTACCATGGGTTCTCGACCACACTGACTGTGTGTTCCTTCCCTCTTCATTTGATGTTTCCAACATTGTTCGATTTTGGGCCCGTAGTATTTTTCCAGAATTGCCTCCCGAGGTTTGATTTTTTTCTCTTCGGTTAGCTCAGCCTGAGGAACCCCGAGTGCGCATGGGCTGCTCTTTGGTTTCTGACCCCACGCCACACCGACTGGGCCTGGTGCCAATGAGGAAGGGGCAGAAGCTGAGCTCAGGGAGGTGCATTTTCCCAGGTCCAGTCAGATCCCAGGACAGTTCTGCAGGGGTGGGGGCAGGCGCACAGAACGTTCCCCCTTAGACCTGAAGGGGGTGCACTGTGCAAGGAGCCAGCCCCCCTGGCCTCCATAGAGGAGGTGGTGGGGCAGTGAGAGGAGGGAGAGCTCTCCGGTGGGCTGGAGGAGAGAATCCTACAGGGGGGAACTGTGGGGGCTCAGCGCCATGGGACTGGACCCGAGGCAGTCTTACCCCCTCTTTCCCCGAGGCAGGCCGACCGCCCCGCCGGGCCTGGGGCATGACTCTGCCTCAACTCACTGCCATCCAGTCCATCGGTCCTGACTCCTGGCAACCCCGCGGATGGAGAAAAGTGCCCTTGTGGGTTTCCAAGACTGTAGCTCCATTTTTAAAGGGTTTTTTTTTGAACACATATTTATAAACATGTAATTCACATTGCATTACAATTCAACAGTTCAATCACAATCATCACCACAATCAATTTTAGAACGCTTTCTTCATTCTTGTCTTCATCATTACTAGCTCCCTACTTCCCCTCCATCTCCCCTGCCGTATCCCCTGGGAACCACTGATTCAGGCATTTACCTATTGTGAATTTCATATACAGAAAGACAGACAGAAAAGCTAACATTCGACTGTCTCTATTTGCCTCTCTTGCGCTTCGTATACTGGAAAATATACAAAAACAGTAAATATGTTTTTTTAAAGGAAGAAAAGACCAACAACAACATTAAAATAAATCAGTGGAAAAAAACCTCTGTCAAGGAAAAACAAAACAGGAAATATTAAAAATAAGAACAAATTTAAAATGGGTCAAAAGAGAGATCCAAAGATCAGGTATTACATTCTAACCCATTTACATCTGCCATAATAGAGTTTACCATAGTCTCTACCTGATAGCAAGGTTATTCACCTTCCTTGACTGTGATCACAGGAGGCTTACTCCATGCGGGATCCTGCAATTGGATTTGGGGTTCCCACTGTCCACCCTAACATTATGCATATTGAATACTCACAATCTCAGGTACTGTTCCCTCCGTCGGATTTGGATGTTGTTTATCATCCTTGGATCACACAGGCAGGTGTGCTTCTTCCATGTGGACTTAGGTGATGCCTCACTTAGATGGTTACTTGTCCTAAGACAAGACCCCAGACACTGTTTTTTTGAATCATTTTAATGAGGGCTTGTGCTGCTCTTATCACAATCCATACCTACATCCATGCAGACACTATTCTTGCTGATAGCCAGGCACCATCTGCTGTCTTCACCACCCTTTGCTGAAGTACCCATCTCTCCAGGGATCTCCTCATGAGGGTGAGCATCGAGCAAGGACAAGTCATAAGAACTAATTGCTTTTGGATTGGGGCTACAATTAAATGTAAGCCCAGCATCCACTCATTTGTCTCTGGTT